CTAGTTCTTTCTGCCTCCTCTCATCACTCCCACAGTACAGCATAGCCTCAGGGTTCAGACTAAAAGCCTGGGTAGTTCCCCTCCTCCATGACCTGTCATAAACTCTAATCCTTGACCCCTTGGTTGCCTGGGACAGCCAGAAACTCCACACTACTTTTCAGAAAATTTCTGCCTAGCTTCTTAGCCTCCTTCCTGTCTTTCACAGCTTTAGAATTCAGCAAAATGGCTAAAAACAAAACAAAACAAAAAACAAACTCTGACCAATTGGGCTCAATTTTCTGCCCCTGCAGCTTCCACTTTGTCTCTTTAAAACCAAAGGATTGCCAAATGCTCTGATGGTTTCTCTGCCTTTCAGCAGATGGTTTCCCTTTGCCCAAGACTTTAATTGGATATCAGCACATTCCTTGAGCACAGAATTGTGAAATTCCCCCATGGAAAAACATGGCTGTGGAATGTTAGTTCAGCTCTTTATGGTTTTCCCCTCTCCAGAATCTTGACCTCTCAAATGCTTACTTGTCTTACCAATATGCATAAAGAGAATTTTTTTAACCCAACTTCTCTAGTTATTCTTAAAGAGTGCAATTTTCTGCCATAAGTTAATCTATCATGCTAAATGTAGAAGACCCAACCAGAGAGTTTTAGAACTTCCCCTTCTGTGAAGTTATTGGCTATGCTCTGGAAACTTCCATTGCTGAATAGGAAAATTTCTCATTTTTAAAAAAATATATTTTATTGATTTTTTACAGAGAGGAAGGGAGAAGGATAGAGTTAGGAACATTGATGAGAGAGAAACATTGATTAGCTGCCTCCTGCACACTCCCTACTGGGGATGTGCCCGCAACCAAGGTACATGCCCTCGACCGGAATTGAACCTGGGACCCTTGAGTCCACAGGCCGACGCTCTATCCACTGAGCCAAACCGGTTAGGGCAAATTTCTCATTTTTAAACATCAGATATATGATGGTCTCTAAATCCCAACCGTATAGTAATTAGTGTGCCCTATAGCAAATTATGAATTTAAATAAATTATGAGAACTTGCCATTGAGCTGTCAAGAAACAAACAAAAATATATATATACACATAATTTAAAAACAAATATATAATTAATAAAGCATGTTGAAAACAAATTTTATTCAAGATTGGAGCAAAATAAACGTGCTAAGTTTTTCAGAGAAATAGAAATGTTATTAAATGTATTCTGCATTAACCTAATAAAATAATTTGCCATTTTTAAAAAAAGATTGAAGCAAAATGTTAAATTTATTTCATTTATTTCATATTGGTATAGATAACCTAACTAAATATTTATAAAATAAAAATAGAATTCTTTCAAAAAGTGTTATACCTTGGTGAATTTTTTTTACCTCAGGTGTATAGAATTGAATAAAAAATATTAATTTCATGGCAAGTTAGTATTATCCATCCAGGTTAAGCCTCATTTTTAAAAAAATTTTGATTTATTTATTGTCTTTTGTTAATCTCTGTCCCTGGCCCCAAACTTCATTTTTCACTTTTTCTGCCTTTTCTTTTCCATCTTAGAGCATGTGCTCCCCCAAGATGAAAACTTGCATCAAATCATAAGGTCTCTCTTATGTATTTAATGTATGTTCTTTCAATCTACCTTCATACATGTATTTGTCCTTGAAAATATTTGATAGTATTTTTGTGTATTTCTTAACTTACATACATGAAACTGTGCTGTCAATTGCATTGTTTTTAATTTTTTGTGAACCTTGTTTATTCATATTGCTCTATGAAAATCCAGCTCATTTCTTCTGATCATTGCATCATATTCAAACCTATGCTTATATATTTTCCTTATCCATTTTTTTATAAAGGACATGTAATTTATCCCCAACTCTTGATTACCATAAGCAACTGCAATAAACATCCTGTGCATGTCTCCTAGTGCATCCGTGTAAGAGTTTCTCTATCAATAAGTGCTGGTGAGGACGTGGAGAAAAGGGAACCCTCATACACTGCTGGTGGGAATGAAGACTGGTGCAGCCACTGTGGAAAACAATATGGAATTTCCTGGAAAAATTAAAAATGGAACTGCCTCTTGACCCACCAATCCCACTTCTAGGAATATATCCTTAGAAACCTGAAACACCAATCAACCCAATAGAAAAATACAAATAGACCACAAACAATGAAGATATTCAACTTTCTTTGCATTTTTAATGCCATCTTAACCATTTTTAAATGTATAGTTCAATAGTGTTAAGTATATTCACATTATGCAACAGATCTCCAGAAATTTCCATGCTGCGAAACTGAACCTCTATACCCATTCAACAATAAACCTATTTCCTCTTCTCCCCAGTCTCTGGTAACTAACCATTACTCAACTTTCTGCTTCTATTTTTGCCTCATGTTATGAACTGAATAGTATCCTCCCCCAAAATTCATGTTGAAGTCCTAACCCCCAGTACCTCTGAATGTGACTATATTTGGAGATAAGGCCTTTAAAAATGAAATTAAGATTAAATAAGGCCACATGAGTGAGCCCTAATCCAATTTGACTTGCTTCCTTTTATGAGAAAATTTGGACACAAAGACACCAAGAATGCATATGAACAGAGAAGAGACTCTATGAGGGCACAGCAAGAAGTTGGTATCTGCAAGTCAATGAGAGAGGCCTCAGGAGAAATAAGACTTGCCAACCCTGATCTTGGATGTCAAGTCTCAAGAACTGTAGAAAATTAATTTCTGTTGTTTAAAAAGCCACCTATTCTGTGGGTTTTATTATGGTAATCCTAATTAATACACCTCATATAAGTGGAATCATACAGTATTTGGGGACAAAGGGGATTGACTTATTTCACTTAGTATGATGTCCTCAAGGTTCATACTAGTATATGCTGTGGCATGACAGGATTTCCTTATTTTTAAAGCTGAATAATATTCTGTTGTATGTATACACCACATTTTGTTTATCTAATCACTTGTTCATGGACATCAGGGTTGCTTTAACCTCTTGGCTATTATAAATAACTAGTGGCCCGGTGCACAGATTCGTGCACATTGAAAGGAAATTAATTAGAAGAAATATTTTAATATTGCTATTTGCCCTTTCTCTATAATAGAAGTGCCAACCAAATTCATGATCGACAATGACAGATGGAAACACACGAGTGTGATTGGTGCCAGCGAGAGCTTTATTATGTATTGCGCATGTGCGAGTCAATTTAGCCTTTTATAGATATAGAATAAACTTGCCTAATTAGACCTGCTTTTTGATTTAGCTAAACTTTTTCCAGCCCAGTGAAGCACCCCAACTTCTCTTTCAGGTACTTGTCAGCAACACAGCAGTAAATATCAACACGAAGCAGATTATTATTGTAGATCACACAGGAAGAACAAAGGGTAAAATATTTAACTGTAGCAGTGTTTGACTATATTCTGCTCAGTGAGAAAACCTGAAGTCATTTTCAAGGTCCACCATTTCTTACTTCTTTTCAGTCGGGTCGGGTCAAGTTTCTAAGCTTTCTAAATCTCTGTTTTCCGGCTAACGAAAAGAAAATAGGATTCCACCGAGTCTCCTATCTACCTACTCCAGGATTTCTGTGAGGATCAAATGAGATGAGGCACAGGAAGTCCTAACCCCCAGTACCTCTGACATTTGGTTACAGTGTGAAATGTTTCCACCTGGCTATAAAGCAAGTCGTGTTCCTGGGCTGAAGAAACTTCAAGGAGGCTAGTCGCCAGGGAGAGGAAGCTGGGCATTGCTACCTGACGTCAATACCCAGACAGACACTTAGCATATTAACCTTTTATATAGAGAGATGCTGCTATGAACAAGGGCATGCAAGTATCTCTCCAAGACCCTGCTTTCAATTCCTTTCTCTATGCCCAGAAGTGGGGTTACTACATCACATAGCAGTTCTATTTTTATTTTTTTAGAAGTTCTATTTTTAAAGGTTTAGTAAATGCCATACTGTTTCCCATAGCCATTGCACCAGTTTATAGTCCCACCAGCAGTGCACAAAGGTTCCAATTTCTCCATGTTCTCACCAACCATATTTTATGGTGTTTTTTTTAATAGTAGTTATTCTAATGGATACATATATTTTCGTAACTTTCATAATTATAAAAATGCTGCCAAAAGTGTACATCCTCTATCTTTTAGCACAGTAGTGAGTCAACATTTCCAAACAAAACCTGAAAAACAGGTTAAAGAAGTTCAGGCAACAGAGGAAATTCTTTTGCAGTTCATTGACCTTTGCCCCATACATCCACACCTCAGCTACGTCAGTGTAATACTGATTTACCTGTGGGCCCCTGGATTAGTCCTCAGCTAATAGCTCAACTGTGGGAAGAAGAATTAACCAGAGCCATACCTCGCAATTATTAATTTAGAATTGGAACAAACTTCCATTGCCTTCCTAATTTCACTTAAATGATCTTGAGGCAGCGCACCCAAACTTCCCATCAGGTGGAGAGCGGGGAAGAAACAGGAAAGGAAAACAGAAGATAAATCCCCCAGAAGAAAGGGATTGTGGAAGCTGAAAAAAAGGGGGGAGACTTCCACAGTGAGAATTCCAATATAATATGCAAGATCGCGGGGGGATGACGCTTTCAAAGGCTCTTCTCGGTGTAACAAAGCAAGGAAATTCACGCTTTAAAAAAGGACAATAGCAGAGTCGTTCTACTTCAGTAAAACCCACCGCAAAGATGGCGGTGGGCCGAATCCCCTTCTCCTCCAGCGGCCGCATTTCCCACAAGCCCCTCCGCGCGCCCTCGCTCGCCGAAACGGGTCCGGCCGGGCTGCGGCCACTGCGCACGCGCAACACGTCGTCACTCGCGCTCCCAGGACGGCGCGGTGCTGGCGGGAGGGAGGGGCTTTCCCAGCTTCCGCCGCCGCGTCGCCTCGGGTCTCGAACGTCGGGTTCGAGCTTCCTCCGCCGCCGCGGGGCAGTCGGGGGTTCCCGAGGCCCAGCGAGGGGCGCCCGGCGGCGCGGCCATGGGACTGCGCCGACCCCGGTGACCGGAGGGAGCTGAGCGGTCCAGGCCCTGAGTGCGTCTCCTCCGGGGGGCCTCGCCCTCCTGCTCGGGGGGCCCGGGCTCCTACTGCCGTTGCTGGCGCTGCTGCTGGCGGCGGCCAGGATCATGTCGGGCCGCCGCTGCGCCGGCGGGGGCGCGGGCGCGGCGGCGGAGGCCATGGAGCCGGCCGCCCGCGAGCTGTTCGAGGCGTGCCGCAACGGGGACGTGGAGCGAGTCAAGAGGCTGGTGACGCCCGAGAAGGTGAACAGCCGCGACACGGCGGGCAGGAAGTCCACGCCGCTCCACTTCGCCGCAGGTAACCCGGGCGGCGCCGCCTCGCCTCGCCTCGCCTCGCCTCGCGCCAAACCCCACCTGCGCACCGGGCTCGCGGGCTCCTCTGCCCGCCTTTCCCCGCTGGCACTCCGGGCCTGGGCTTCTCCTTCTCATCCAGGGGGGCTTGGGAGATTGGGGAAGGGGCTGCACGGAGCGTGCCGCACTCAAGGTGTGTTTTTTTGTGGCTTTGTTTTGTATCTTCAATACTTGGATCAACTTCCGGTTTTGCTCTCCTCGAAGGCCTCTGCACACAAGAGCGGGGACGTGGTAGACCTTGTAATCTGAAAGGCCTCCAAAATCTGTCCTCCTCGCAAATTCCACTGTGATTCTCACCAATCCTTTGGTTAAGGTGTTAAAGGCCTTTGTAAAACGCAAAGATGTAATTTAGAAGGAGCCGCTTAATGGGCCATTGACACATTTGCGTGAATGGGTTTATCTAGGTATCCATTAGCAAGTTTCTGGAGAGACAAGTACTGGAAATGGTCAAAATCGGGAGGACTGAGGTCTGATTTAGGCCGGATCGGGATGGTGGTCTCTGCCACACACGCTCACACTCACACACATACGCACACACACCCTTGGGGTGGAAAAGTAGTAGGAAGAGAGGAAAGATGGTGCAGATACTTTAGCTTGGATCTAGAGTTACATTGGGACTGACCTTGCTTCATTCTGAGATTTATATCGTCTGAATGACTTTTAGTATTGACTAGGTTCACTTTATGGTATAAGCATATTACATTTCATTGAAGAATTTAAAAGAACTAGAAGTGAGACACTCAGCTTATTTCTATACTTTTCACTTTTAGGAAAGATCAAGACTATCCCTGTCCTTATAATTGAAAATGGGATTAGGGTTTCATACTTCTGATAATCCTGGTGTTTTATTTGTATTACTTGATTGCTTAAAATAATTTTTTTATTGATTTGAGAGAGAGAGAGAAATTATCGATTTGTTGTTTACTTATTTATGCATTCATTGGTTGATTCTTGTATGTGCCCTGACCCGGGATGGAACCCTGGAGCCTAGTCGTATTGGGAGCTATCAGGCCAGGCTAAAATAGTTTTTTGAGAAACAGAAGGATATATTTTAAAGCACTCTCCTCTTTTGGAATAGGAATGATGCGTAAAGAAGGAGCATAAGAAAGATTTCCTTGTTCACAGACCTTTTACTACCAACAGAAATTTGTTTGCTTTAACCTGTACCAGTTTTAAAACATAAATATTATTAGGAGGTATGCTTTCTTGATCAATTACAACTTTGTTGGGTTCCCAATGGGGAGCCTTTTTAAAGAGAGAAGGTTTGAGGGGTTGTTGGTGAGAGAACTAGAAACAGCCTGTGGGCAGCAGAAAGGGATTAAGAATGCTCAAGTCAAATCTAAGCTGTTTAGCCATTTTGCCTAAAATTTTGGTGTTCAATGCTGCCTTTGCTCACCTAATTTGGATTGTCCTGTTTGACCATATATTCAACATTTAAACAACTGATTTGACAAACTGTCATAACCAACTGATATGTAATCCAAAGGGTAGTATAGTAGTGTTACTTAGATTCTGTTCACTTGATATGTGGGATAAAAATAACCAAGGAAGATCTTAGTTGCTACCTTTCAAGAATTTGATGTATTAATGAGTTCATATCTGAAAATAGGAATATTTAGAGGTTTAAGATTATGGGATTAGCTTCTTATTGATTTTGTTTCCCCTCCCCACCCCCCCCACCATTCCACCCTCAGTCTGTCCCAACATTTCAAAGTGCTTTCTACATAGGTTTATTGTGGTTTGTGAGAATGAAATGGAAAACTTACTTTGAGAACAAGCCCACCCCTCACAATTTTCCATATTACCAGGTACAGATTATACAGTTAAGAATTTAAGGTATGAAAAGAAAATAATAAAATAAAAATTGCTAATGGTCTACATATACTAGAGCTTTAAAGTCCTGCATTTAAAACCAGGCATAGCCCTAGCCGGTTTGGCTCAGAGGATAGAGCTTCAGCCTGCAGACTGAAGGGTCCCAGGTTCGATTCTGGTCAAGGACACATGCCCAGGTTTTAGGCTTGATCCCCAGTGGGGGGCATGCAGGAGGCAGCCAATCAATGATCCTCTCTCATCGATGTTTCAATCTCTCTCTCTCTCCCTCTACCTCCCTCTCTGAAATCAATAAAATTATTTTTTTTAAAAAAGCAGGCATATAACTCCATATATAAATGTCTAATCACTATGTTGTACAAATAAAAATATATTGTATTTCAACTATAATTGAAAAATAATGTTAATTTTTTTTTTAAATTTAAAGTCCTTCCCAAAATTATTTAGAAGTTGCAAATGCCACATCACAAAAAAGAAACTTTTAAATTAGCTTTGTAAATTTGATCTAAATTTTAGATGATGGGAGAGAACTTGTTTTCTCAATTTTTAAATAAATGCATCCAGTTGCATTTTCTCTTACTATATGGAGAATACATTGTATATCCCGGACGGTGAGTTATCAGTCATGTTAATGTGCATCTAAACATGCCATTGGAAACTCAATGTAGGTGGTGAGACTATGTAGCTGCCTGACCAAGCTGTTTCTTCGGTTTGTACATTACAGAGTAAGCAATGGAGGAAAACAGGTTTTTTTAGCCAATTAAAGTTTAGAGGTTTTACTGTGTGTGGGGGGGGGGGGGAGGGCATGTTTTTGTCTTTTTGTTCTGATGTCCTGATGTCCAAGGAACAGGAATAAGTCTGTGCAGACCAAGGAAAATGGATAGAAGAACAGTTTCAGAAAAAAATTGTGTCTCTTCATCTAAAACATTTAGTTAAAAGAATAATCAGTTGCCATCCCCAAAGGAGTTCTGTTAATGAAAAACGCAATCAACATAAACTGGAACTTTTTCTATTAGGTGTATTTTTTTATTGAACTGGATTACAATCCTTGTAGATAAGTATGCTTTAAGAAGTCATTTTTATAAGAAAAATTGTTTCCTCTTCAGTCCCGCCACCACCAGCTCCCTTCCCTCCTTATCCTCTCCCTACCCCCACACCCCATCCCTCATACAGGATATGAAAGAATTTTTGTGACATGTTGCAAAACTTGTAGAGGCAAGTTGGTGGAGAGAGGCTGCAGCTTTAATTTTGCTAAAAACAATAGCATCTGAAATGCTTGACAGTGTAATCCCCTAGAAAAGAGCAGATTTCAGTAAAAGTGATTGCTTCTCTAACTTGTTTAGAAGAGGGACAGAAACTTTGGGAGAAAGTCATCTTATTGTCCATCATAGCCAAAGAAATACATAGCATTCTCTAGAATCTTAGAACTGGGGCGGGTAAAATAGAATTCAATGGTTTGAGAATTTTAAATATTTTGGGAAGTGTGCAGCGTGGTATCATTCAGTAGAGAAATGTGTAAAACCATTTATCAGGTTCAAGAATTTTAGATATAGAGATGGTGGCAGAAGATGATATACATATCAAAATATTAGACAGCACTAAGCAAATGTTTATTAAGTCCTATATACATGTATATTAGAAGAATGACAAGTTGGAAAAGAGCTTGCATTGTAGAGTTCTAGATAAGCAAGGTAACACTTGTTTTGTATTTGTAGTGTGTTATGTTACTGTTCTGTATTTGTAGTATGCTACTCAACTGTCTACATTGGACCAGTCAGACTGAACCTCAATTATTGTATTCAATTGTGTGGATTGCATATAAGAAGGATTTTTTTATTATTATTCAGAGAAGGGAAGTGGGATTAAAGCCTCTGGAATTTATTATACAAGCAACAAATGAAAACTAGAGTTACTTATTCTAGAGCTGAAAGAAGACTAAGGTCAGACAGTGTTACTCTCTTCACATATATTTAAGACATTCCAGTAGAAAAGTAAATGGATATGAGTTGTATAGCTTCAACAGTCAAAACAAGTACCAGTAGATGGAAGGTTGCAATGAGTTAGACTCCCTTTAACAATCTGTTTAGCTATAGAATTGGTGGGGTTGGCATCTTTCAGAGATGTTGTAGAAAAGGATTTCTGCATAGGACGGACAGTTGGACCAACAGGTCAGACTCTGAGTGGTATAACAAAGTGGAATGATTGCCCCAACTGAAGCATTTAATCACTCAGCTATCAAAGATATAATAGCTTTTATACTTGCTGTTCATATCCTTTCTCATAGTGGTACTTTTAAAGACATCCAGTATGTTTCAATAGTATTTCCTTCTTTTGTCTGTAGGCCAACATCATAATTATGGGAGATTCATAAAATGTACCCACATTGCTTACCTAGGACTAGAACTAGACATTATTGTTTCCAAAATTGCTTTTTTGCTTTGTGTGTGTGGGGGGGGGGGGGGGGGGGGGTAAAATCCTACATCAGTAAAAAACCCAAATCCTATATAATAAAAGCCTAATATTCAAATCCAACGACTGGTTGCTATTATGTGCACTGACCACCAGGGGGCAGATGTTCAACGCAGGAGCTGCCCGCAGGCCCCAGGCCAGCCAAAGCAGGGGGCGGCAAGTGGGCGGCGCCAGCCAGCCAAGTTGGGTGCCAGCGGGGGGACCCCCGATTCCCCCACCAGTCACCCTACAGATCGGCCCTGATCACTGACCAGGCCTAGGTTCCCTACCCATGCACGAATTTCGTGCACTGGGCCTCTAGTATCAAATACCAGTATATTTAAGAATTCAGAATCTTTCTTGACTTAGCAGATCTCCCAGTATATTATCAAGATTTGAGCTACACTTTTTTCCTCAGCTCTTGCTGGACTTAGAGGTAGGCGATTGACTTCATTCACAGCTAGTTTGGAGTACGTACTTCTCCATTTAGATAGTTAGAATTTCATCAGCCCAGAGGTCATGGCACCCTTTTCCAAGTTTCTCTTAGTCTGATCAGATAGATGGTATATTGTCCTAAGTTGAGCTGGGCAAAACCTTCTCCTTTGTATTTCTCATTCGAAAGAAATATATGTGGAAAATACCTTTCTGGGTTTTTGCTAACTAAAATTATTAGTAAGTTTAAAATGACATCCCTCAGAAAAATCTGACAAGAGTCCTGACAAGAGCCTAAGACTGCTTGATTATGCATCCAATCTCCCAGACTACATGAGCATTCTCTCTTTCATGGCATTTATTGATATTTCCTGTTTCTGAATATTTTTTTTCTGATAAAGCCGTATATGACTCCAGCTTACCTTTAGCTTGTCAAGGCATCACTATCATTTCATACTAGAGGCCCAGTGCACGAAAATTCGTGCACGCAGGGGGGCGGGGGGCAGGGGGCAGGGTCCTTCAGCCCGGCCTGCTCCTCGCAGTCCAGGAGCACTTGGGGGATGTCCGACTGACAGGGGGAAGCGGGCCTAAGCCACAGTTAGACATCCTTAGTGCTGCCGCAGAGGCAGGAGAGTCTCCCACCACCTCTGCTGCGCTCACCAGCCATCAGCCCGGCCTGTGGCTAAGTGGCACTCCCCCTGTGGGAGCACACTGACCACCAGGGGGGCAGCTCCAGCCCTGCCCTCCCATCACCCCTCCCCTGCTGCTGGTTGCCGCCGCCCCCTGATTGCTGTCCCTTCCCTCTGCCCGCTGGCATCCACCTTGGCTGGCCTGGCGCTGCCCTCTCACAGGCCCTGCCGAACCAGTCATTCCACCGTTCGATTTGCATATTAGGCTTTTATTATAAAGGATTAGACCAGTTAAATCATCAATGGCCCATCTCGTCTTCGGACTGTAAAAACTGGGAGGTGGCAGCTCTCAGTAAGATTTTCTGAGAGTTTAAGTTGGTTTCTCAGTAGTGATTTCCACTGCTTTATAGTTTTTTTGGAAGCCATTCACTTGAAAGGATGTTTCCAGTATAGCAGCAAAATATGATACTGTTAACAATAGTCATGGTTAGCAAGACAGTTCCTGAAACTGCTGAAACTGATGGCACTAGGTAGTGATGAAACTTGACAAGAGAAATTGAATAGACTGCTTTTCTTTGTGGTCACAAATCATCAGCTCCATATTCTCTCTGAGAGTCATTTGCTTACTATTTCAAAATATTAGGCATGTACTAAGCAAATGTTTATTAAGTCCTATATGCTAGATTCTGGCCTTGGCCAGTGAACAGAAATAAACAGGACACAGTACCTGCCATTAAGTGACACAGTTTATTGATCAGCAAGTATGCTTTCCAAATATTCCTGCTTTGTTTCATTGTTAGTGCTTTATAGTAGATTCAACAATGTATGATTTCATCAGTATCTTCATACATGACATTGAGCAGTGTTTAAAGATGACTGCTCTTCCATAATTATAAAATAAACCACAATATATCTTGAGCAGCCGTGACTACTAACTTTAGGTTTCTGATTCCTTTATACAGAGATCCTTAGGATATGGAGGTTGGCATTGATTCTAAGGTATGCCTATTCATGTTCTGCCTGGCCAGTAAGAACATGATCAGAAAAAAAAACCTGCAAAGCTATTTTTCCTCAAGAAATGAGTACTTAACAGATGCTTTGAACTATTTTTGAGACCATAAGAATGGGATTTCATCAGGGATTAGAGTTTAGGAAGTATCTTGGATCTAAAGGTTTCACTAAACTAACAGTGGAAGATTTTAAAATTTTAAATAGATACATACTCACCCCCTCTAATTTCCTTTTATGCCAAGAAGTGGCTTCAAAGTTTCAGACTCTTCATCTACTCTCAGCATAACAACATGATGTCCACTCACATGTACAGTCCTTACAATGTAACTTTGAAACATGCTGATCTCTGCTGTCAGTCTCCAGATGGGTTTCAGACATCATGTTGATACAAAGTTATAGAAGTAGAAGTTATCTGTGTCTTGGACTGTTTGTAACTATCCTATATAATAAAAGCCTAATATGCAAATCAACCGAATGGCAGAATGATCGGTTGCTATGACGTGCACTGACCACCAGGGAGCAGACGTCTAAAACAGGAGCTCCCCCAGCCCGCAGGCCCCAGGCCAGCCAAGGCGAGTACCAGCAGGGGGCCCTTGATTGCCCCGCCAGTCACCCCACAGATCGACCCTGGATTGCCAGCCAGGCCTAGGGAATTCGCTACCTATGTACGAATTTCATGCACCAGGCCTCTAGTATAAATATAATCACTTCACCCTTTCTACCCAGCTTAAACTTCAGTTTCAGTATTGTCATAAGTGTCAGTATTGAGTCTCCCTCTCTTTATCTCATCAATGAATTCTTGAATTGTTGAATCCCTCTTTATTATTTCCCATCCAGAAACATTTTAGCATGGCTTCTACTTAATTCTAATTTATGCATTTTTCTTTGGAGGACTTAAATATGAATAATTTGTTTTCTTTTAGGATTTGGGCGGAAAGATGTAGTTGAATATTTGCTTCAGAATGGTGCAAATGTCCAAGCACGTGATGATGGGGGCCTTATTCCTCTTCACAATGCATGCTCTTTTGGTCATGCTGAAGTAGTCACTCTCCTTTTGCGACATGGTGCAGATCCAAATGCTCGTGATAATTGGAATTACACTCCTCTCCATGAAGCTGCAATTAAAGGAAAGATTGATGTTTGCATCGGTAAGAGCGTTTACTTTCCAGAATTTTCCTGAAATAGTTTGTAACCATCTGAATCTAACTGACTTCATTCATTAATATGATCAAACTCTGCCAGGCTGAACTTAAATACTTAAGAACACTTCATAATTTAAACTAACCACTATTTACTAATTGTCATTTTGTGTATAGTACTGGGCTTAAGCTCTTTAGAGAATAGAGACAAAATTCCTGTTTTCTGGAAATTTGAATTCTCTTGGGAGATAGCACACACACAGAATCAGATAAAGTCATGACAGTGAACAGGGAGTGTTCGAGGATAATGAGGGCAGTGAGTTGGCTGGAGTCCAGTCACTCCTTTCTGGAGTCTTTCCAACAAGCAGTGGGAGAAAGGTTGAAAAGGTAGGCAGGGACATCTTTATAAAGAACTTTGAATTCCAAGTTAAGGAGCTTGATATTATGAAGACGGTTAAGGAAGGGAACAACAGTGTGATGAAAATAGTGTGTTTTAGCAAGAGTGATCTGATAGGTGGCTGGTAGAATGGATGGCATCAGAGAGATTAGCTAGGAAACTGTAGAATAACCCAGCTAAGAAATGATGAGGTTATGAACTAGGGTTATTATAGGAGAATAGAAATGGCAGGATACATAAAGAAGCATTTGAAGGAAAAATTATCAGTCATTTAGAATACTTTAACAAATGAGATAGGATTTGCTCAACAGTTAGATCATTGACAGAAAAGTATAAGTGAGAAGGCCGCTTATTTGAGAGTTTTTATTAACCTGGTATGACTTTTCTGAACCTAACATAGTCAGGGATTTTGGACTCTGCTACCTTAGTTCTATTTCCTGACATAGGGGCAGTTGAAATTCTTGAGGCAGATAGAAAGCCTGTGTACTAGGAAAAGTCCAGGGCTCTGTGCTGGACTTACATTGTTCTCTCCTGCCCTCCAAACCCCAAGTCACTGTTTAGATTAAAGTCACCATCTTAGTTCAAATTAGGTAATTTATAAAGATACAAAATAGATTACCTAGTAACCTCTGCCCAGTGTATTATCTTATATTGTTATTTTATATTGTTACTGCCTTTTGCTAGTTCCTGAGTCTCTGACATATAAATAACTAGTTTTAATATGTAGGGTTTTCTAAATATAGTTATAGATCTGTACTATCCAATCCAGTATGGTAGCTGGGGACTTCTTGAAATTGAGATCTACTCTAAGGGGAAAATATACCAGATTTCAAAGTCTTAATATGAAAAAAGGAAATGCAAAGTATCTCAATTTTATGTTGATTATGAAATAAATATAAATATTGAAATGACAGAATGTCGCCCTAACCTGTTTGGCTCAGTGGGTAGAGCCTGCGGACTTGAGGGTCCCAGGTTCGATTCCGGTCAAGGGCATGTACCTTGGTTGCGGGCACATCCCCAGTGGGGAGTGTGCGGGAGGCGGCTGATCGATGTTTCTCATCGATGTTTCTAGCTCTCTATCCCTCTCCCTTCCTCTCTGTAAAAAATCAATAAAATATATTTAAAAAAAAAAAAAGAAAGAAAGAAAAAAGAAATGACAGTATGTCAGGTAAATAAAATGTGTTAAAATTTAGCCTGTTTCTTTTCATTTTTTATTACATATTTAATTCACATTAATGCCTCACATTTTATTTCTGTTGGATAGTACTGTTACAGATAGGAATAGAGTAGAATGAACAGTAACCCAATCAAAGAATGGACTTTGGGCTTCCCTTTCTGCATGTACTTGCCTGTCTCTCCCCGGCTCCTTATTTGTAGAGTATGCTGTAATATCTTTACATAACAAATAACAATACAGAATATAGCACAGGTCTTTCTTTTTATGTGCTTTGGATTATAGTTTTGATTTGGAGTTTGTTAACCCTAGAGAGAGTGTTTTTGTTTCTTGTTTTCTTTTTTTAAGAATTTGCGTACACAATTTTTTTTTATTTTGATTAACCACAGATCCATATTTCTATAGGATTAGAAATTTTATTTCTGTTACGATAGAACAACCTTTCTAACATAGGCAGTATTCATTTGGAATGAAAAAACAAACCTTCAAGCAGACTTGCCTTTTATTTTCTTATACACTCTTATCTGTCCTTAGTCACTTGTCTAGCAAAGGAAAATCTGACTGAACTTAGGAGACATTAATGTGTATAATACATTAAATAATAAAATGTATAATACATTAAATGTGTATAGTACATTAAATAATAAAATGTTTTATACTTATCTTTAAAATAAAACATTTACCACACTTTTGGGATATGAAATATCTTTAACCTTGAGTCAGAAATCAAATTGTCATGAATACCATCTTGAAAAAAGTAGTATTGCTATTTTTCAGTGCTCTTGCAACATGGAGCTGAGCCAACCATCCAAAATACAGATGGAAGGACAGCGTTGGATTTAGCAGACCCATCTGCCAAAGCAGTGCTGACTGGTAAGTTTGTGTACTCTCTTTGGGTATTCCAGGAAGAATATAAAGAATGAACTTCCTGTGGTTAATGACCTCAACTAGATGTTTTTAAATAGTGTCAGTTGTTATTTTTTTTTTTTTTTTACTTCTGTACAGTTGACATTTGATTCTTATCTAAGAAAGGTAAAGCTTTTTTTTTTTTTTCTTTACAAAATTGGTATTCCTCCTTCCCTATTCCATGCAATTCCCTGCTTTTATCTTTTAAAAAAAACCTTGGGGTTCAAATGAAACCTTGCACTAGTAGCCAATATGCAATTCATATTATGGGCAGCAGTTTGGATTTCATTTCAGCAAATCAGTAAACACTATCCATTTTGTTAAATTATGTCAAACTGTATTAATTGTAAAGGTTTCTTTGTATTCATTATAAATATAAAAGCTATAGGCATAAAGTATATATTTAATCCTGTTTTTATTTATATATACAGTTAGCCTTCATTGTCCACAGAGCGCCTCTTATTCCCCATGGATACAAATATCTTTGGATTTTCAAGTTCTTTAAGAAGGCACAAATCAGCCCTAACCGGTTTGGCTCAGTGGATAGAGCATCAGCCTGCGGACTCAAGGGTCCCAGGTTCGATTCCGGTCAAGGGCATGTACCTTGGTTTCGGGCACATCCCCAGTAGGGAGTGTGCAGGAGGCAGCTGATCGATGTTTCTCTCTCATGGATGTTTCTAACTCTCTATCCCTCTCCCTTCCTCTCTGTAAAAAAACCAATAAAATATATATATTTTTAAAAAGGCGCAAATCAATGCATACTGTAGGCTCTCCAAATTCATAGATTCCCAACTGTGGATTGAAAATATGATTTTCAGTCTGAGATTGGTTAAGTTCATGGATTCAAAACCTGCAGATACGGAAGGTTGACTATTTAAAAAAGCATTGTAATAAAAATAATTTTAGTCTTGAAAAATCTTTTGGGTTCACAAGAATGTTAATGGTTATGTTCAGTTGGTGATGCTATAGATTATCTTGTCATTTCTAAATGTTGGTATATTGGATTTTGTTTGTTTTGTTGGCTTTTGAATGAAGTTGTATATGCATTTTGTGTGTTATGCGAATAGCATATTGGTTTTCTATAATAATTTAAGGAGAAAAAAGAAAAAAGGTTCACCCATAAACTCCCACCTAAGACAGACTTGTTGAAAATTTTGTATATTTCCTCCTTGGCTTTCTTTTTTCTGTGCATATTGTTTTCATATAGTTGCAGTGACACTTTGTTATATATCATTGAATTTTTTTCACTTTTATAACAAAGGTGTTCCATGTTCTTCATATAAATATTTTTAAACTATACAATATTCTACTGATTAACCGTTTTCCTTTTATTGGGAATTTATTTTCAAATTTATATACTTTAAGTATATAATTCAGTGAGCATCTTTATGTATGAAACTATCGTTACTTTTGTAATTGAAATGTTTAATTTCTGGTTTTGTTTTGTTTTTTCCCTGATTCATAGGTGAATATAAGAAAGACGAACTCTTGGAAAGTGCCAGGTGTGTTATAAATATATCCCATGAAATCTCCATCATTTAAATGTTTTACTTATTTACTTTTTTGCAATAAGAAAACTATAAAAAAAGAATGCATTTTTTTTAAGTGTTCACATAAATGTCTTCATATGGGATGTGCTAAAAAATAGAAATTGCTAATAAATTTTCTTTTGTGTGTTAGGAGTGGCAATGAGGAAAAAATGATGGCTCTGCTCACACCATTAAATGTCAACTGCCATGCAAGCGATGGTAGAAAGGTACTTTGTTTTACCCCTAAATTTGTGTTCATCTCCTGGTAACATGAAAATACGTTTATCTTATTATAAATTAAAACATTTGATGAGAATGCTGATATATTCTTTTAAGCAATAATTTGGATTCTTAAACTTATTAAAACTTTTTTGATAATAAATATTTAGTTCCTATTTGCAATAATGAATTTATAAACTTTTATACTATACCTTCAGTATATGTGTTGGATTTTTTTTAAAACCAAATTGATGACTATTTAGACAATAAAGTTAAAAGGCTTTTTTCTGGATTTTGGTTTTATATTTTTAGCTTTTCACACCTTTTTTTCAGCCAGTATTTGAATTTCATTAATTTTTCTGATATTTCAGTCAACTCCATTGCATTTGGCAGCAGGATACAATAGAGTAAAGATTGTACAGCTGTTACTGCAACATGGAGCTGATGTCCATGCTAAAGATAAAGGGTAAGTATTTGAACAAAAATTAGGATTTCTTAAATATTACTATCCTTGTAGTAATTTCTGTGACCTTATAAAAATCATATTTTTTACTAAACACTATAAACATGTATTGAGCTTTTATGATATTCAGATATATCTGAGGGCATAGGGAATTATAAAACATTAAGGCAACCACTCAGGCTTACACTACACTTTAGGGGGCATGAAAAGATACCTGACAATAGAAGTTCTCTACTAAGTGTGAGGTGTAGAGGCATTCAGCGTTTGGTATACTGTTATAGAAGGGTAAGGTAGAGAGCATCAGATCATTGTATGCTAGGCTGAGTAGTTGGAACGGTCTTTTGAAAGCAAGGAAGACCAGTAAAGGACTTAAAACAAGAAGTAACTACATCGGGTAACCTTTTGAAAAAATCTGGCTATAGCTTCTAGGACAAATTGAAGTGGGGATTGTTTCACTAGTACAGGGAGAAATAGTAAAGGCCCAAACCAAGACAATGGCAGTGCAGTGGCGGGGGGAGGGATGATGAAATGTATTGAAAGAGACTTGGGAATTAGAATTGCTAGGACTTAGGGTTCAAATGGATGTTATTAAATTTTGTACATTTTTATTATAAGGTCACATAAGCAATTTGCTATTTAAGTCTGACTGTAAATTTAAATTAAATTAAGTCTAGGGAATCTCTAATAACAGGCTTTCCCCCTTCTCATATTGTAGTGATCTGGTGCCTTTACACAATGCCTGTTCTTATGGTCATTATGAAGTAACTGAACTTCTGGTCAAGGTTAGTTCTGTTGTACTTTTCTTATATAAGTTATTTTAAATACCTAGTGTATCTGTTTTTCTATGTGTTTTTGGTGCTTAGTGGATATAGGAGTATTTATAATTATTACAAAGTGTAGATGGTTGATAGGTCAGCATCTGACTGCTTGAGATCTTTGAGATTCCTTAAGATTTTAAAGTAGCACTACCATCTTACGAATAGCAGATTAAGTGATTCTATAATTTGTAGCTAAAGTGAAATTTCAAAACTCTTAAAAATATCAAAGCAATTTTTAGTCAATCATATATTAAAACTACAATTTACATTTGCAAGACTTGCCCAGTTGTACTTTGAGTTGGAACAGGTTTGCTTGGATAGCTTTACTTCTTCCAGTATGCTGGGTGGCTGTTGTTTAACAAGCAGGTTCCTGGGACTGGCAAGAGATTCCTTATTTTGCTCCGTATTGGATGAGAATAGAAGATATATATTCTTCTTAGAGTGGATCCAGGGATGTTACCCATACCCCAACATTTTTTTGTCCCCCAGTCTCTATGTATGTATTTGACCACTCTCTTTAGACTTCTCTCACTCTGTACTCACTCTGCCCCTTCAGTACGTTCCCTCATTCTATATTGGCAGCTGTCATAGGAACGGAAAGAAGACATTTGTTTCCAATGCCTCTATGCTTCCTTTGGAGCATGTACTACCACAGAATACATTTTCCCACAGAAACAACTTTGTTATAATGGTTAGATACTCTGAATAGTCTATAAGTCTTTTAAAATTTATTATGTGGCTGTATTATTATATACATTTATAGCAGTAATGCTTTTGCTTATTGTAAAACTGAATCTTGAATACAGCAGGATATTTGGAATGTTATGGATGAGAGTGAAACATCAGACAGATTGCAGTGAGACTTTTATAAAAAGACAATTGAATGGTGTTTTTCTAAGATGTAGTGTTTACTAAATAAGTGTGGGAAGTTGACTAGAGGTTATGCATATAGATAGAGAACGTTAGAAGAGGCGAGGGTACAAACAGTTACAGAGTACTCAAGTTCAGGACAGTCAGGAGAAAGCAAGTAGACAGAGACGGAATACAGGTAGAAGTCCTGGGCAACACAGTCAGTAAGCAATCCTTGCTAACAAGTCTGGCTAGCACAGTGGTCGGCAAACCGCGGCTCACGAGCAACATGTGGCTCTTTGGCCCCTTGAGTGTGGCTCTTCCACAAAATACCACGTGGGGGCGCGCACATACAGTGTGATTGAAACTTCATGGCCCATGCGCAGAAGTTGGTTTTCAGCCTGAGCGAGTCTATTTTGAAGAAGTGGCATTAGAAGAAGTGGGGGGTGTCGGTCGGTCTGGGCCGCGAGATATGCAGCGCGGGGGAGGTACATTGTTTTGAGGTACGTTCGCTGAGGTCGACCCCTTCCAACTCCCATCCACACTCGTCTATCTGAAACAAGTGTACAAGACAAGTGTGGATGGGAGAGTTGGAAGGGGTCGACCTTAGCGAATGTACCTAAATCAGATTGAGGACGTTTTTAGCAAAGGCCAGCTTAGGAGTACCTTAATTAAGTTAATAACAATGTACCTACCTATATAGTTTAAGTTTAAAAAATTTGGCTCTCAAAAGAAATGTCAGTCATTGTACTGTTGATATTTGGCTCTGTTGACTAATGAGTTTGCCGACCACTGGGCTGGCACATGATGGCATTTAATAACAAACATGCAGTAGACTGCTTTTCATGACCATGATGCATACAGATTGTGATGTGACTGCTTGAAAAGCTAACATAATTTTATGCCAGTAGTAGAAGTATAGTATCAGGAGCAAATGTACTAACAGATGCATTATACTTGTACAGTCAAACCGATTGAGAATCTATCATTCTAGGCTCTTAATATTTTTAAGTGAATTTTTAAACTGAAGTCTATTTAGTTGAGGGCCACAAAGGTGATAGGAAGTATAGAAACCATGAGTGAAGGAGCTCAAAGTGTTTAGATTGGAAAAGAAAAACATAAAGAATTGCCTTCAAATATTGCAAAGAAGAATATTGATCTCTTTTGTTCCAAAGACCAATAGGTCAAAGTTTAAAGTACATAACAACAGAAGTTATCTATTAAGTATAAAAGTTATGTTAGTTGAGAATTAGTTTCCAGGAATTAAAAGTACTAAGAGTAGGTAGCTGGTTCACCTTCTACAGGTAAGTGTGGGGGGATTTTGTGTTTGATGAGAGATTAAACTAGAATGACTTCTGTGGTCCATCCAACTCTAATTCTTGGAAATGGCTAAATTAAAATACCAAGTGTTAGAAAGGCAGTGAGCACTGGAACTCAGACATTCCAAGTATTTGGCACTTTTTAATAAAACTAAACATATCTCCCATATGACCCAGCAATTCCCTTTCTAGGGGTATATGCAAAAGAATAATGTATCCATAAAGAGACTTGTACATAAATGTTCATAACAGCTTATTCATAATAGTCAAAAACTAGAAATAGTCCAAATGCCATCGACAGGATGACATTATGGTATATTTTGTACAATGGAATGCCACTACTCAGCAATGAAAATGAATTATTGATACGACAACATGAATGAATCTCAGAAACATTGTGTGTGAAAAAAACGACACAAAGTACATACTGAGTTATTCCATTTTTATGAAATTTAAGAACAGGTAAATCTAATATATGCTAAGAGTCAGAATGGGGACGGGAGTTGTCCATAAAAGAAGCATGAGGGAACATTCTGGGATAATGAAAGTGTCTTTTTTTCTCCCCTCCTCCCCCCATTCTTTTCTCTAGCTGTGAGTGTCTTAGATCTTGAATTGGGTGATGGGTATCATGAATATGTACATTTCTCAAAACACATCAAACTACATTAGTCCCCCTGTTTCCCCTGAACCTATCTACAGTTTCATTTCTCTGCAGTTTCAGTTACCTGCAGTTAACTGATCTGAAAATATAGTAGATGAAAAATTTCAGCAATAAGCAATTTTTAAATTTTACGTCATTCTGAGTAGTGTGATGAAACGTCACGCTGTCCCACTTGAGATGTGAATCCAGCATATCCCCATTGTATATGCTATCTACCCATTTGTGTCTGTTGTCAGATCAACTGTCCTGGTATTGCACTGCTTCTGTTTAACCCTTATTTTACTTAATAATGGCCCCCAAAAGCAAGACTAGTGATAATGGCAATTCAGATATGCCAGAGAGAAGCTGTGAAGTGCTTCCTTTAAGTGAAAAGGTGAGTACAGTACCATAAGATATTTTGAGAGAGAGAGCACATTCACATATCTTTCATTACAGTATATTGTTTTAATGGTTCTATTTTATTGTTGTTATTAACTTCTTGCTGTTACCTAATTTATGAATTAAACTTTATCATAGGTGTGTATGTATAGGAAAAAACATACACATGGAAACACATTTCTCAAACTTAATTTGTCCCGGAAGGCTGTTCAAGAATCAATTTGTTTGAAAACTGAATCATTTTTTTCCATTAGAACTAATGTAACTTGAATTACTTCATTCCAGACCCCCAAATGATTCCCTGTTTTAACCCTTCTTTTATACAGAACATGTCTAATGTACTGTTTAATCTGTAATTAAACACTTATTTTCTTAAACTTATCAAACCATCCCCTACTAGCCTTAAACTTTTTCATATATCACTGACTCTGAAATACTATCACAGGTTAACTGATAGTATTTAAAAACAACAGTTTTTCTGCCTATTAAGTTGTCTGGGATTGTTGTTTTGTGAGCACTTTTACTCCCTTAGCAACATTAGCACTCTTGATGGCCTCTTTATGATTTAAAATTGTGCTTTGTTTGTTGCCTGAGGGGTGCTTTTTGAGGTATCAGCATGAAGGGAAGGGTTGTCAGGTCAAAAACTGAATGTTTGGTCCACAACCGAGACATTTTTTCTGTGAAAAGCTTGGTGGAGAACAGAAAGATGTTCAAGAACTGAGGTTTGATTGTATAGGGTTTGGTGCTGTCCATGGTTTTAGGCATCCACTGGTGATACATGGATAAGGAGGAACTACTGTATATACTTAAGAACTGTGCATTTTTGCCGTATGTAAATTACATAATAAGAATTTTTGGAAAAGATGCATGTTAAATCTAAAGCTTCATTCTCAACTATTTTTAACAATAAAAGAGTTAAATAGGCCTTTGTGCATAGGCCTAGCAACCAGTAACTGTTCATGGGGAGAAAATGTATTCTTTTTCTGAAATAATTGGTTTAAAAAGTGAACTTTAGGAACATAACTTGTTTAAATTTCCTTGATGTTATATTATAGACTACTACTAATTCTAAATTCTCTTAAAAATTGGACACTAAATATGTGCTTCCTTTCCCCACCCCCAGCATGGTGCCTGTGTAAATGCAATGGACTTGTGGCAATTCACTCCTCTTCATGAGGCTGCTTCTAAGAACAGGATTGAAGTGTGTTCTCTTCTCCTAAGTTATGGTGCAGATCCAACACTGCTGAATTGTCACAATAAAAGTGCTATAGACTTGGCTCCCACACCACAATTAAAAGAAAGATTAGCATGTGAGTATAAAAAGATGAATGTTTAGCTAAGATATTATATCAATAAACTAAAACTATTTCTTGTTTGTTTCTAGAAATTTTTAAATGATAGAATAATTTCCTTAGCTGTGGGTATCTTTTGTTCAGACTAGCATATCTTAATCATTCAGAAGTTTCTACTTATTCTGCTCTTAAGATGAAAAGAAAATGTATTTGTATTCTTTTTTTTTTTTAAGTCAAGTTAAATGCATTTTATATGTATTAGTCTTATAGGTGGTATGCTTTTGAAAAGAATTTGGGTTTTATTCCTGTCTTTGATGTAACTTTCTACGGAAACTGCCATGAAGTCGAAGTGTTATTTGTAGGATTGCCATCTTGTAAATCTAGTCCCCAGATTTTTGTCATCTAATGTTCTTTGGTATCTGGACAGTTCTATGGTCTTCTATGTATAGCTGAAATAGATGTAATGAGACATAGCCACCTAGTTCAGGTACAATTTGCTATACATAAATAGGAAATTTACATTATTTTGGAATAATAAAGGACACTGCATGGTTTCACAAATCTGAGACATAAAAGAGAGCAATCTTGAGAAAATACCCTCTTTCATTTGTTCATCAGTAGGTACCTCTTGGAATATCCAGCTTGTCTAGTCCCCAGTTCTCTGATGTGTGAGCAAAGCCATCTGCTATTGCTGTAATGCTAGTGTAGGGACTATGATCACCCTCTGTTTTATTTATTTACTGAGAAAAGTTCTATGCTTTGGAAAATTGTGAGAACTCTCTGATCTGGGAATATGTTGCAGTACTCCAGATATTTCCAGACCAAAATAGACTTTGAGTTGGCCATGGGCTAAATCCGTGTATACAGTTGGAGATGAATTGGATCATAACAGGGGAACTGGAATACCACTGTCTCCCTTTTTAGGGGTTATATTTGGAGAATATCTTTAGACTCTCTATTTGGCTATTTTGACAGATAATTTTGAAAATAATTTAAAGAAAAATACTATGTCTTTTACTAGGTAAATCTTACCAATTTGATAATTCTCATGCAGATTTATATACTTTTCCTTCATCTAGATGAATTTAAAGGCCATTCTTTGCTGCAGGCTGCACGGGAAGCTGATGTTACACGAATCAAAAAACATCTCTCTCTGGAAATGGTGAATTTTAAGCATCCTCAAACACATGAAACAGCATTGGTAATGTTTCAGATTTAAGTTTTTGTAATACAGTAACCAAAAACATGCAAAACTAATCATAGTGTCCTACTTCTTCTGATGATACAGGGTAATTACCATAATGTCCTATTTTTGTAATAGCATCTTAAAATCTGTGCTTTTTAAAAATTAATGCCTCCACATATATATAGAAAAATTTCAAATAATACAGAAAAATAGACAACCTACCTCACTCCCCAAAAGGCTATGTTGTTATTCATTTGAGTATATTTCCAGAAACAAGTTTTGTTTATGTACTGGTATATATTGTGTGTAATTTTTTATTATGAGTGGTTCATATAATTTGTTTTTTATTATGTTTATGATTAAAATTTTGGAATTCACTGAAAATAATGGAAAAAGAAAACAATTCTACCACCAAGATAAAAATCACTTGGTTTTCTTCTAGAATTGTCTTTTTTTCCCCCAAAATTAGATCTACAATATTTTTCCTCCTCGCTCGAGGATATGCTTTTTATTTTAAAGAGAGGAAGGGTGGAGGGAGAGAAAGAGAAACATCAATCGGTTGCCTCCCATATGCCCAGATTGGGGATCGAACCTGCAACCCGGGTATGGGCCCTGACCATTCCCGCAACCTTTCAGTGTACAGGATGATGCTCCAACTGAGTCACACCAGCCAGGGCAAAGTGAGATCTAAAGTCTGTATGTCTCTCCTCTATCCTGTGTGAATAAAGTGTGTGAGTAGAGGCTACTTCCCTGATAGAGGTAGAGGTAATAACCACTCTGTGGAACTGTAACAAATTAAATGAGAGAATCAGGCAGTCTGTGGAAAAGCAGTCAGAAAAGATGGGAGCTAGCAAGGATAAGTGATGAGCCCTAACTGTTTTGGCTCAGTGGATAGAGTGTTGGCCTGAGAACTGAAAGGTCCCAGGTTCGATTCCAGTAAAGAAGGGCATGTACCTTATTTGCGGGCACATCCCCAGTATGGGGTTTGCAGAAGGCAGCTGATCGATGTTTCTCTCTTATCGGTGTTTCTAACTCTCTATCCCTCTCCCTTCCTCTCTGTAAAAAATCAATAAAATACATTTTTAAAAAAGGATAAGTGATGAAAGAGAGGAACGGGAATGGTATAATCAGAGCCTATCGTAGAAGTAGAAATTAAAAGGAACCAAGTCCTGCTGTATGAATTGCAGAATGTGTTTTGGGTGAGGAAAAATGGCCCTACATAAATTCATGTGTTTAGGGGCAAATTTAACTCATAGTAGCCTTGCTTCCCTGATAGCTTTTATGATTAATTTTCTTCCTAATGCTATGATGTAAACTATGTGAAGGTTATGTAGAAATCTATAAAACATTTTAGACCGTTTTGCTACTTAACATGTAAAAAATACCCAGTAAAACAATAGCAAAGCTGCAAGCTAATAAGAAATGCTAGTGCAAAATTTAAATTGTAGGAGCATTAAGATGGTACAGAGAAACTTGGAAAGATTGACATGGAAAATTTTAAAGAGCTAATACTACTTGTTGTTTTCCCTAAATATTGCATAGTTGTGATTCCAGGGGCACTGCCTTCCAAGTTTCTAGAGACTGCAGGCCCTGTCCCAGAATGGGACAGAAGAATATGGGAGCAATTTGAAATAGATGTGATCAAAATTCTTGAAAATAAACTATTTCCATTCTGTGTGCTGTCCTGCTAGATGTCCTGGGGTGATTACTTATACCATATCAAAGGAACAATGTTCACCATATAGAAATGGTTTCATTGAGAGCAAAGGAATGATTTTTGTGACAGCAGCAACATCAACGAATGAATCTGAAACAAAGTCATGACTATCAGATATGCTTTGTAATTAACAGGTCAACATCAGAATAAATTTCATGTGTACTGTGTATGTAGATATATAAAACAACCTAGCTTAACAATTATCTGGAACTTTTATTCCATGAATTTTCAGGTTTCAATTTTAAAATATACATACATGGATTTAGTCATTCGCTCATTTAGACATTTATTGAACACCTATTGTGTATGAGTGTCATCCTGGATGTTGGGGATTCAAAGATTTGGGACATGACCATGAGGTATTTATAGGTTTAAAACTAGCGGATCTCTAGCTTATGTCTCCCTTCCTCCTTGATGTATCATGCACATAGATGCTGCCACATTCAACTTAAAGTGTATCATTTTCTACCACTGATAATCCAAGTTCCTTATTCTGCTGGAGCAACTAGTTGAAAGAGAAACAAATACTACTCATCTGGCCAACTATTCCATCAGTGCCATTACCAAGCAGAAGCCAAAACTGATGAGTGCTGTGTTATTTCTTCCTGTCAAGAAACCCCAGTCTTTGGGCTGTTTTGTCAGTTAACCTTTAAAAAAATGATATAAACAGTGTTCTCAATGGGAACAGTTCTGAAAAGAGTATTGGTCACATTAATTTAAATTTTTCATCACATCAGTAGTGGCTTTTCCAAAGATGTAGGACAACTATAAGCTTAATTGGAATATTTAGTAATAGATGTTATCAGGCAAATAAGATTTTCAGGCCCTGCCAGAATTTGGTAATTGTTGCACATTCTATCCAATAGAAAGTCTTTGAGTAACAAAGTTAAAAAAAAAGTTAAAGTCAAACATAAAACACAGAAGTAAAATAACTTATAGCCCTGGCCAGTTTGGCTCAGTGGATAGAGCATCGGCCTGTGGACTGAAGGGTCCCAGGTTCAATTCCAGTCAAGGTCACATGCCCAGGTTGTGGGCTCAATCCCCAATGGGGGACATGCAGGAGGTAGCCAATCAATGATTCTCTCTCATCATTGATGTTTCTATCTATCTCTCTCTCTCCCTTCCTCTCTGAAATTAATAAAAATATATAAAAAATAAATAAATAAAAGTTGTTTCTTAAAAAAAAAATCTAGATTGGAAATAGATGTTCTTAAATAAAAAGCAGTTCTGTATAGTCCTTGATTAATGCTGCAATTTAAATTATCTAGCATTGTGCTGCCGCATCTCCATACCCCAAAAGAAAGCAAATATGTGAACTGTTGCTAAGAAAAGGAGCGAACATCAATGAAAAGACTAAAGAGTAAGTATACTTATAATAATTAAAAATTATTGATATTTTATTTTTTGAAAAAATGCACTTATTGTCTGGCTGGCTTTTTCTCTTTAAGATTCTTGACTCCTCTACACGTCGCATCTGAGAAAGCTCATAATGATGTTGTTGAAGTTGTGGTGAAACATGAAGCAAAGGTATTACCTTTTTGGTAATCTTTGGTAATCCAATGAGTTATTTTATACTTAGCAGATTAAATGTCTGACTTCCTAGACTATTTACTCTCTCATAAGTATTACCTTTTTCCTCTGAATCAATATTTAAAAATAATCCTGCAGATATTTTTTCTTCATTTTTTTTGCTAGAAATCCTATGGATTTACTCAAAAGTACATTATTCCTATATATCTTCCTTCTCTATTCCTTTTAACCACACCCCACTGGTCAGGTTATCCTTAAGGTCTTTTTCTAGCAACTATTCAGGAAAATGTCTCCAGCTGGAGACATTCTGATTCTGACCTGTCATCATTTCTAGTATTCTTTTCTCAAATCTTCTGTTCCTTGATTACCATGATAACTCTGGTTATTTACCCCAGCCACAGCCTTTCTTACCCTCTGTTATTTCTCCATATTGGGAAATAAATACTATCATATTGGGAAGTTACTGTTTTTTAGTTGGCATTTGTGCACAAAGTATTTTATTCATGGAATAATTATGTTTTCATTCAGGCTACAAATTATAATTTCTTACCCAGGAACTTTAAAAAATAATACTCAGTAAAAGATATACATAGCATCCCAGATTGGGATGATAGTCACTTAATTCAACGGTTTTTATAATTTTTAGCCACAGATCATTGCCTTTAAACAAAATCTTTAGTAGAAATGTACAATAAAACAGGAAGAATGGAGCTGCCCTGAATGAAGGGAGAAGAATGGAATAGAGACCCTTTCCCCTTGGGTGGGCCCCAGGCTCTTCTATAAATGTGCTTTGCAGAATCGTTTCTGTCTGTCCTTCCTTGGGTTTCCCACCCAAGGGAACACTTAGAATTCTATAATTTTTTTTCTGTTGCCTCTCAGTGTCTTAATTTCTCTTTGATTTGGGGGAATTCTTGATAATGTATAATCTCCATCTTTCCTATTGTAAATTATTGAATGAAATAAAGTTATTTCTGCTTGACTGCTTGGCATATCTCATTTGTCTATTCTATAACTTTTCACTGATTGCTTTTTTATACATGTGATCTATTACTAGAAGAACATCTGGATGCATATTAAACTTGAGTTATGAAACTCAGCGAATCAGTCTTGACTAGGGTGGCCAACCATCTAGGTTTGTCCAGGACTGAGGGATTTCCAGATACACAGGACTTTCAGTGCTAAAACGCAAAGTCCCGGGCAAACCAGGACCAAGTTGGTCACCCTAATCGTAAAATAAAGTGGTACCCAAATAAACTTTTTTAAAGTGAATGTATTTCATATTTCAGTGAATTTTCATATATGAATAAATAGATTAATTGCCTTGAGCATTTTAAATGGCCTTTACAGGCCCTGTAAGCCTGAAGATTAGCCATTTATAGTCTAGTTTTGGATTTATTGAGAAAGTCGTACTATATTCCTGTTGAAATATTCTCCACTTCCATGAATACGAATTGAACAGTTTCTCAAAACATTAGTGGCCACAGGATTGATTACCAAGAAACTTAATTTCTCAGTTATGTTTTGAGGAATTACTTCCTTGATTGGGAGGGGTGGAGTAGGGATGAATAAGGAATGTTACAGGTGGTGTTTTTTTTTTAATTAGGAACATTTTAAAAAGTACAACCAAGTTGGAAGAACTTTATAGAAGATAATTTATATACCCACCACTTAATTTTCTCCCTCTATCAATATATCTTATTTTTTGACACATTTCAAAGTAATTTGCAAATTATTGTGCACTTCTCAAATACTTCCAAATAGGCACATCTAGAGCAGTGGTTGCCAACCTTTCGGACCTCACGGACCACCAGTGGTCCGTGGACCACCAGTTGGCGACTGCTGATCTAGAGGTCAATATTCATTTACAGGCGTTTTTTTTAGATGTAAAATTTGCGTGTAATTAAATGCATAATTCTTAAATGTACATTTACTGAATCACCAAGACACAGAACATTATCTAATGGCAGGGACAGGGCAATCTCCACCCCTAGAGACAATACCCCTTGTAATTTTTTCCTACATACATTACATTTGCTTGTTCAAGGTCTTCATGTCTATGGATCATACAATATGTACTCATGTGTAAGGCTTTTTCCTCAATATACTGTCTTGGAGATTCAGCCACTAATCAATAGTTTGTTCCTTTTTATTGCTCAGAAGTATTCCATTGTGTGAATATACCGTATTGTATTTATATGTACAGATTACATTTTACATGATTTAAAAAGGTAGAAGATTAAGAGTAGAAATAAATGTTTTCGTGCTTATCTAATCTCAGGCTTTGTTACTGACTATACTCTTCAGGTTATTGTCCACATTTCTGGACCTCAGAGAGCCATAGAAATACATGGATTAGACTTAGGCAATGTTCAGCTTTAAATGCAGTGAACTTTTTAATGCTAAACACAACTATTATTCAACATCTCACACTGTTAACCCAAAATTGAATCTTCCTTCTGATGTCAGCCATCATGAATTGGTGAATTTATGTTCTAGACCAGGGGTCCTCAAACTACAGCCCGCGGGCCACATGCAAATACAAATAGCGTATTTGTTCCCATTTTGTTTTTTTACTTCAAAATAAGATATGTGCAGTGTGCATAGGAATTTGTTCATAGTTTTTTTTTAAACTATAGTCCAGCCCTCCAATGGTCTGAGGGACAGTGAACTGGCCCCCTGTTTAAAAAGTTTGAGGACCCCTGTTCTAGACTTGTGCATAAATACTTGCTTTGAATAGGCTTCTTAAGAGAATAATTGAGAATTTTAAATTAGTAGCAAATGCTAAATACATGATTGGGTGGTTTAAATTTTGCATTGAAGGCTAATTTCAGCTTTGTCTGCATTATTAAGGTTAATGCTCTGGATAACCTCGGTCAGACTTCTCTGCACAGAGCTGCACACTGTGGTCATCTACAAACTTGCCGCCTACTCCTGAGCTACGGGTGTGATCCTAATATCATATCCCTTCAGGGCTTTACTGCTTTACAGATGGGAAATGAAAATGTGCAGCAGCTTCTTCAAGGTATTACATGCTTCCGTGAAGTTAATTTTGTTAATTAACCTGTATATTTTTTCCACATACCATGTAAGAGTTGGTAGTAAAAGGAAACATTTTTAGAATTTTTGGCTGTTATTTCTTCCTAACTCATTATACTGTTTTTTTCTTCTACTCCATAGGGATTTCCTACATAATCTACCAAACTCTGAAAGAACTCTACTTTCAGATAAGGTGCCTCCTCCCTTAAAGCTTGGTTCTACCTCCTTAGTAGTAGTTAATTACTCTCTTCTCTCTCTCTCTTTAGAGGGTATCCCATTAGGTAATTCAGAAGCTGACCGACAGTTGCTGGAAGCTGCAAAGGCTGGAGATGTAGAAACCGTAAAAGTAAGATACGATCTTATGTTTTTAATTTTGTATTTTTATTTTGATAATGTTTAATGTGTTTGTATTGTTATAATGAAGAGCCTAGTTATTTATATATGCCTTGTTTTAAGAGGTAAATAATGCTAATCTAGTTTTCTGAAAATAAGAATCATTAAATAATAAAAGAAACTTTAGTTTCACATGCATCTCTGTAAATGCATCACAGTCACAAATTTAAATAAATTGCATGTTCATGGAAATGAATTTTGTTTAAAGAACCCATACATTTGTTTCTTTAAAAGAATAAGGTGCCCTGGCTGGTTAGCTCAGTTGGTTAGAGCATCATCCCAACACGCCAAGGTTTCGGGTTTGATCCCCAATCAGAGCACATACAAGAAGCAACTAATGAATGCATAAGTAAATGGAACAACAAATCCTCCCTCTCCCTTCCTTCCTCTCTCTCTTAAATCAATCAATAAAAATTTTTTTAAAGAGAAAGGGGTTTTACTAACACTAATATTCATTTGACCATTTTAAAAAAATGTATATATATATATATATA